GATCATCGGTGATCTGAATCACGACGAGTACGACTCCATCAACCCCGTTCACTTGAACGCTTCCGCTTAGCGATCTACAAGGGTATGTAGATGCACTCCTCCTTCTACTCGTTGCTGGTCTCTCCATAGAAAGATCTTGGTGTTACGTAGGAATTTTTTTTGAATTTCTGCTACGTTCCCCAACAAAAACAACAACAACAACAACAACAACAACAAAGCCTTTAGTCCCAAACAAGTTGGGGTAGGCTAGAGGTGAAACCCATAAGATCTCGCAACCAACTCATGGCTCTGGCACATGGATAGCAAGCTTCCACGCACCCCTGTCCATAGCTAGCTCTTTGTCGATACTCCAATCCTTCAGGTCTCTCTTAACGGACAAAGAAACAGAAAAACAAACAAAGAAAAAATAAACGAAAAAAGAAAGAAAAACCAGTGAAAAACTGGTTCAAGAACCTTCTGGAAGGTTCTCAAAACCGGTCAGGAACCTTCCAGAAAATACCCAAAACCAGATACTATAGCGTGTGTACTATCTCGTAGTTGGGCCGACCCATCTTGATAGCTAGGTCGCTCGCCTCTGTGGGTTCGCTCGACTTTCTGCCGCAATGATCGTCCGTTAGGATATTCCCTTGCGGGGGAGTTCCTATGGATCGCATTCTGCGCTGCTTGAAAGCATATGACTCTAACCAGTTGACCTACTGACATTTGTTCATTACAATACACCGTTCCGTTAAAAAATTCAAACCCAAAACTTAAACATTTTTTATCAAACGGGAACATTTTTTCAATTTTTTAAGAATTTTGAGAAAACTTAAACATTTTTCGACACGCAATTTTTTTTTCGAGAAGCGGACATTTTCAAAATGGAACATGTTTTAAACTACCCAAAAAACTGAACAGGATTTGTTTTTAAAAAATAGGAACATTTTTCAAATTCCAAAACAAAATTTGGAAACGCAAATAAATTTTGAACACGTACAAATTTTTAATTTCCCAAATATTTTTTTGAAAACATGAAGGTTTTGGAATAATTTTTTAAAGCACGAACATTTTTTTAATCTTGAGAACAAATTTTTAAACGGAGAACAAATTTTGAAGCGCGGACAAATTTTTAAAACACTAACATTTTTTGAATTTTAAGAACAAATTTTCAAATGGAGAACAATTTAAAAAAATCCCGAACAAATTTGGATGCGTGATTTTTTTAATATGTGAACAAAAAATTGAAATCCGGTACATTTTCTGAATTTAGAAAGTTGTGAACTTTTTTGTGTAATGACAGCAATTTTTTGAAAACTGAACATTTTTCTAAAACATGGACGTTTTGGAATTTGTGAACAATTTTTTAAAGCACAAACATTTTTTGAATCTTGAGAACGAATTCCAAAAAGGAGAACAAATTTTGAAGCGTGAACAAAATTTTAATGCACGAACATTTTTTGAATCTTGAGAACAAATTTTGAAATGGAGAACAATTTTGGAAAATCCCTAACAAATTTGGAAGCATGATTTTTTTTGGAATACACGAACAAAAATTTGAAATCTAGTACATTTTCTGAATTTCAAAAGTTGCTGAACTTTTTTCTGTAATGAGAACATTTTTTCAAAAATTGAACATTTTGTTGGAAACATGAATAAAACTTGAATATTTTGAAAAAAGTTTGAAAAAAAGAGAAGGGAAGCAAAAGAAACAAAAACCAAAGAAAAAATTGTTGAGAAGAGAAATTAACTTGAAAAGGAAAACTGGAAGAAAACAAAAAAAGTAACGAAAAGAAAAGGAAAAAGAACCAGAAAAAGGAAGAAGAAAAACAAATAGAAAGGCTAAAAAAGAAAAATAAAAGGAAAAATAAAAAACCGGTTCAGGAACCTTTTAGATAGTTCCCAAAACCACTAACAACCGGCTGGGAACGCTCTAGAAGGTTCCCGAAACCAGAACCTGTAAGTACGTTAAAGATGGGCCGGCTCAAATCGCTCGCTAGTGGGCATCCCTTGTGCGATTCGTCGACAGTTTGACGCAATATGCGTCAAATAGGATTTTCCGACTGGCGGCGCTTCGCACAAGGGTGCCAAACTAACGGCCCGCCTAGGCAATGAACCCCGTGATGCGAACAAAAAGGAAGAACGACGCGCCCTAGGTTCGAAATCTTCGTTAGCGTACTCAACCAGTGGACCTGATGCCTTTCGTGAACGGTAAGCAGCGCCAACATTTAAGTAGTGACACCAACACTGAGTGACACTCGCGTGTAAAAATTCCTGAAAGTGTTGGTCCAGCAGGGATTCGAACTCGGCCCCTCCTGATAGTAAACAGTGGTACATAAGCATTGAAACACGTATTTTTGGTCTCTAAAATTGCAGCATGGCTTATAAGAAATGCTAGGGCACACAACATTTAGAGTACTCTGAAAATTTTCCTTTGTTTTTACGTTTCACTATTAGCCTTTGTTTTTAAGTTTCAGTAAGTCCAACAATGTTTCTGTTAATTTCTTCTTTGAATAAATGTATTACTGATCGAGTGTTTCAGAACTTTAGAACACTTGTTTGTCCTGTAATTTCAAACACAACAGATCATGTTTAATTAACCACCATATCAGCAAATTGTGCTTCATAGACAAACATTATAGACTATCAAGATGAATGTAGCATCGCCATTACCTGTTTAGGCAGACCATTTCAACCATGGATTGTGGTTGCAATTATTTGACAAGCTTCAGCGCTAGAATCTGCAACCACATCTGGCTCATTGTCCTGGAAATGAAGAATTGAGTCACTTTATTATCTGTGAAACAAGATACAGAATTGATCAACAATTATCCTTAGGCTTGCTGTGAACATGCATGAGCTATAACACAGCAGTCCCCCACTTAAGCAGCAAGGAGTAGAGCAAACAATCTTGAACATCATGTCAATAAACTGAAAATGTTCAAGGTACTGCAGTAAACTGAATCAATGTCGTTTTATCAATGTTGTTTCAAGCAGACAAAGGAGTTTCAAGTAAACTGAAAATGTTCAAGGTAATGCAGTAAACTGAATCAACAACAACTACTCCCAACTCTAAATTTTGACAGTAAGAATAAGAAAGAAAATTCAGTGAGTAAATAAGATTGCAGAATAAGAATAAGAACAGGGGCTTGAGGATGTTCCAATTATTTAAGTGAAGAACTGCGAATTTGTTATGGTAGATACTCCCAACTCTGAATTATGGGCAGAATCATGAGATGACGAGAAAGGTTATAGAGGGGCAGAATCATTGGCATCAGAAGAAAAATAAATCGAGGGGCAGTTTTGTACAGGCTATAGAGGTTAATGATAGCTGTGGTGTTACCGACAAAATTACTGGAGTGTAACGAATCTTGCTAATAATCCTTAGCAAGACAATAATCTTTAGCACTTGAAAACTCTTTGCAGAAAACAAAAATTATCTTGGAAAGTGTCCACGGAATTTCAGTCGGAGCCATCTCCTTTTCAAAAACATCATGAATCCAAAATCTAGGAGACAGATTTTAGAGAATTGCTAATATTCCTGGGACAGTAGCAGCATGGGCTAATCTAAGCTTTATTTCACACTTAACTGCCTGATGTGACTGCACGAGGCACTGTTGTTGCATTTTATCACTAGGCAAATGTTCTCTGCAAACATCATTCATTCTTCTGGTTTTTCTCTGCAGGAGCAACATAAAAGAGGCGAAGACGCCGAAGAACCAAAGATATCGGTAGCCAAAGCCTTCAAAGCGCAGGGAGAGGTAGCTTTAGAAGATCACTACTGCTTTCTTTCAGGAGAGATGGAAATGTTGCTGTCGCTGTACCAACCGTTAGCTTAGACAACAGTAAGGCGTAAGCAAGCCCTGCACTGGGATGATGATTTGCTTGGCCATCTTATGGGGAAAGTATATACAGGGAGAAGCTCTTAAACTTTGTTGCTTGTAAGTAAGCCACATTTCGATAGCAAATCATTGATCAGGAAATATCAACCTACTCCTAAAATTCTGAACTTTGGAGTAAAAAGTTACAGTAATGAACATGTTACAGTAATGGACAAAGACTGAACCTGCAATCCCAAAATGTTGTCCCTTCCATTGATTCTGGAGAAAAAAGGAAGCGATTGCAGCTTCACCTGGGCACGACTCGTGCACGGGCGGAAGCTCCGGCCGCCGGCGGCCGCGGGGAAGAACGAGGCGGTGGTTGTGCGTAGGCGCCGGCTTCGCTCTGCTCTGCCTGTCACAACCGCCGTGTCCGCTCCCGCGCTTGGAGAAGCCGACCTTGTCGAGGCCCAGCTCCGGCTCGCCGGTGCTCCAGTACGCTCCCTCTGCTCCGGCACGCTCCCGCTCGCCGCAGATCGACACAAAATCGGCACTTGACGGAGGGGAACGAGGCAGTAGCGCGGCGTGGGGGAAACAAGGCGGCGGCAAGGGAGGGGGAGCGGGAAGCATGGGGCGTCGCCGGTGTGGGGGAGAGGAGAATGAGGAAAAAGAAGGGGGGACTGCGGGTTATGTCGGGAAAACCCAAAAATGCCCTGTTGACGGACGGAGGGAGTAGATGATGTTGCTTTTGGCTTCTTTTATAAATGTGGACTCAAGATCCATGTTTTTTGAAAACTTGGGGATGTGAGGGGAATTGAGGGGATTTGGTGGAAGGAAGGGATTCACCAAATCCTCCCGTATCCCTGCCTCCCAAAACCTCTCAAATCCCGGGAAACCAAAATTCTAAAGCAACAATTAATCATAATATAATCCCAATGTCCACCTACTTTAAATTCACAGTTCCAAGGCAAGGTGCATACAAGTTCACAGAGTTCACAGAAAACCAAGAGGATCATAGAAGTTCACTTTCACTAGCTGGTGCAATGGGAGTCTACCAAAATAAAGTACAAGTTGACTTGTGAGAATTCACAGAACCAAGAGGATCATACAAGTTCACTTGTCACTAGCTGACCAGCTGGTGCAATGAGAGTCTACCACAATAAAGTACCAAGTTGACTTCATAGCAAAAAATAGTGGGGAACGGCATCAGAAAGAGAGAGCACAGCATCTGGTACTGATTACTTCCTTTTGATCGATGGTTTCCTCTTGATCAATGAGACGTGTAGCAGAGACTACATGCCTAATTCCAACCGGTTTCATGCTCTTCCTGGGTGTTTTCTCAGTCTCAACCTCCACTGCTGTGATCCATAACGTATTATGGTGGTCACGGTGCTTGATTTGCAAACCTATATATACAAAGAACATTAGAGGTGATGGCAAGAACATTAGAGGTGATGGCATCTTTCATGAAATGCAAGAGAGAGAGAGAGAGAGAGAGAGAGAGAGAGAGAGAGAGAGATTCACCTTGCACCACCCAAAACAAGATGGCACCCGAGTTGACATCTTTGCCAGCATAATCCAAACACATCCTTTCAGTCTTCCAATTTTCACTTTCCCATGAGAGTGGCAAAAATATTGGGATATCTAGGTACACACAATGATCTTCATCGACTAGTTCATAAGCAGCAAGCCCTTTTCCTGAGCATGTGTAGATAAAACCATCCACAAATACACATTTGCCATTTAGAAAGCGGTATCTAGACATATCCCTTGGCAGGTATTTTCCCCATGGAGCCCAAGGCATAACAAGATGCCACTTCTTGGAATCCAGGTCAAAGTGAAAACAAGAACATGTGAGAGTATCACAGACTACAAAGGAATTATCACTCACTACTACATATCCGGACAGCTCAACCTTCCTGTCAAGAATATTAGAGTGATCTGTCATGCAGCGCACCCATGAGATGGATCCAGGAGGACAAACAAGGAAGGCCTTACGGTAAACTTGGAGAGTTTCAGTAAGAGCAAGAGTTGTCCTACCAACTTGGATAACCATGACAAAAGGATCAATAGGAGAAACAGGCCGCCGTGCTTGCAAATCTAAATGCTCACATCTGGTGTCCAGGTTAAGCACATCCATACCATCTTTTAGGAACGAGACAGCATGTAGTTTTGAGTCAAGGAGAAAAAAATGCCTCGGACCACAATCATCTCCATGTACAATGTAATGTGGCTTGAGAGGAGTCGCTATTCCTAACCTTGAACTCAGATCTGGACTCAGATCCATGAGACTTGTTTTATAGATAAATGATTGTGAACCAGCTTGGCAGATGATAAACAAGAGCTCATTGTCCATATGTGGCTTCACATAGGGAGCAGGAGGACCTGGTGGTAAAAGATGCCTGCATGCAAGAAGCAAAATATGTGTGTCATGCACAAGAAACTTGAAATAAGATATCTAAGCTAAGCTCAAGCTTGCGGAACAAGACATGCAAGGATCATGAAGCACTTCCTCTTCATGGACTTCCTCTGCATCATGAACTTCATGGACTTGATGACGCACCTTGTCATCCTTATACTCTCTAAGTGATTGATTGGTGGACACAAGATTAATATTAATTTGTAAGCAAGATGACCAACATGAATGAATGGATTAATGGTCAAAATAAATACATGGCTTTAGTGGACGGAGAAACTTACTGGAGAAAGGAGAATTCAAATTCATTGATGTCTTTCATGGGTAACATGTCCACCTGGCGGGAGGTGGAGTGCAGGACCTTGATATGGGAGGGGTCAGGACCAAGGTGGAAGGTGGTGATAATGGCGTGTAGGTGGTCTGGCCAGCATGGGAGCCCCACACTCATCAAGACAGAGCACATGACCCCAGAGCCCAGATGGGTGAGGAAGCCATGGGCTGTGCTTCTGTCAACATAAGGAAATATAATGTCCACAGGGGGATCCATCTTCAGACTTCCCTCTTCATATCCCAGCTTGTATGCATAGATCGCATCTTTGCGGAGCATGTAGATGGCATTGCTTTCTTGTGCATAGAGGCCACGGCCAAGGATAGGGACGTAGTCCTTGGCGTCTGAGGTTTGGGTTACCTTGGTCCAGCCCAAGTCAGCGGAGGAACAGTTGAAAGTGAAGAAAAGGCCGTTTTGGAGGGAGAGCAGGATGAGGGTGCTCCCCTCACGGCCATGGCCAGGGAGCACCGCGTAGCCCTGGAGGAAGTCAGGACCCCATATGCTCCCACGGTAGGGCTCGAATTTGCAAAGTTGGACCAAGGGGATCCCGACCTGCTCCCAATGTTGTGTGGCTGCGCCCTCTTCCTCTTCAATGACCAGGCGTTGTACTCGGATGCAGTAACTGGTGCAAGAAGAGTAGGTGGCGGACACGGCCCATATGTGGCCGTCGGCGGAGATGGGCATGCACCGGCCACGCATGCTTGGATCCAGCGGGGGAAGCGCTACTTCGGCCGGCGGTTCCTCCTCGGCCGGCAGCAGCAGCTGCAGGCCGTCGGCTTGCGCATTCTCGACCAGCTGCAGGAGGCAGAGCGAGCGGCCGTCAGGAGCCAGGGTTGCGCTGGCGCCCGAGCTGCACCCCTGCCGCTTCTTGAGGTCGTGGAAGACCTGGATATCGTCGTCGCTCCGACCTGAGATCCGCCCGGATCTCGCCACGTGAAAACGGTGGACGCGTAGGGCGCCGCTCTTGACGCCGACGAGCAGCGACCAGGCGGGGCTCTCGTCGGCGTTGGAGGGAATGTCCACGAAATTATTGCCGAATTTGACCTCAATGAAGGGGTCGGAGGGGTCAGGATAGGAGCGCTCCCTCTCCCTCTCCCTCTCCTCCGCCGCCCCCATCTTCCCCTCCGCTTTCCCCTCCTCAGCCGCCGCCATCTTCGGGTTAGGGTTAGGGATTTGGGGACAAGTGGGGCGACTAAGAGCATGATTGGTTTGATGCCAAAAGTTGGCATGCCAAATTTTGGCAACTGCCAAATATTGGCTAGAGATTGGTTGCTTGCCAATTCTCGTTGACAATCTCACAAAAAGTTGCCAAATGTTGGCAACTTTTGATTTTGCCAAATGTTGGCTTGCCAAATATGACAATGCCAAATGTTGGTAGCGAACCAATTATGCTCTAAATCCAGGGTGCTCGAAACACGGGTGTTTGCTTGGTGCTGCAGTATGAACCGTGCCACCACCAGCCACACCAGTTGGGCCGGCCCAACTTTTGCTGCTGGATTTTAGGGCAACTGGGCTCCGGCCACGTCCGTTTTGGGGTAAACGGACACAAAATGCGGCCCAATGCGTGGGAATAAAAGGGGACAAATGTCGGTTTTCGGTCCGCTTTTGACCCATTCCCCGCCTAAATTTGGGCCGTCTTTGTGTCCAAACGGACACACGCGAACGGGTGCGGCGTGTGCCCTTGTCCTCCCCTGGCCCGCCCATCAGGGACACAACGCCCCTTTTTCTATCCTCCCATATGCCTTCCTCCCCGCCCCACTTTCCCCCACCTTAGGGCGCGGGGTTAGAACCAGTCGTCAAGCTTGGCTCGGTCCTTACCGTTGGAATGGAACTTGCCCATTCTAAGGCCTCTGGTTGGGCCAAGGTGACTGCCGAGGATCTTGGAGAACGCATCCAAGCTTTTGTGATAGCTATGGCAGAGCTCGTGGGTGTCGATGAGGTCGAGAGGGGTGGAGTTCCATAGGGGGAACCACCGCCGGAAAAGGACGGTTGTCCGCGCGCCCATATTTGATTGGGAGGAGGGAGGTGATGACTGTCAACATATCATCGGGGAGGTTGCTGATGAAGTCTAGGCCTGCTGGAGTCGCTTGTGGTTCTTGCTCGCCCCGCCTCCGCTTGTTGGCAGCCCTGTTCTCCACCTCCGGAGTCTCCTTGTCAGCGGCGCTTTCTGATAGAAGTGGGAGTACAGGGAATATTTAGTTTAAACAGGGTAATAGAAAAGTGTATTGGCAACTAGAAGTTATTAGGTAGGAATATAGTAAGAAAATGGAATAACAATTGGTTGCTTAAATACTACACAATTCATTTGATATTGCTGGGTAAGTCAACATGCAGATACTTGAAAAGAAAACTTACTTCGAACAAAGTCTGAACGGATGATATCGTCGGGGAAGTTAGCATATATCTCATGACCAAACCCTTTTATGTGCAGTGCAATTATAGTGCCAACTTTCAGTACATAAAACTTAGAAATTTCTTTCCAAAGGCCAGTGCCAAAATAGGAGTCACCACGCTCATCAAGTCCTGTAGCAGCAACGATTGTAAATTCATGGTTTGTGTTCGGTATGACATCCTTGCAGTCTTAATTTATGTAAAGGGAAAGATTGTGCACTACATATTCTGTTGCATAGCAAGGGACGCGCTGCAGAAAATGATAGGATTGTTAGGATTTTATAATTTTTTTGAATTTTTGAGCTCCGAAATGTATCTCATATTTGAAACAATATATTGAGAAAATTGCGAAGCAAGAGCATCTAAGAACTTATGTGAACGAAGCATCAACCTCCAGGCACAAACATATCACACAAAAAATTATATGAAAAATAACATTACATGTGACAGGTACCAGATCGTTCCTGGATCTTGTTTTGCATTGCCGATGTTGATAAGGGATTAGATGTTGTCTTATGAAGAAATATATGGAGTAGTAAAAACATACATATATCCATCACCATAGGAGTACGTCCTTCAGCTGGACCAGCCTGCCAGCCCACGCACGTGACGAGACGTCGCTGCAAGACCCACCAGGTGTTGCAGATAACGGTTGCATAGAGGGGGGAGAGTTGGTAATAACGGTAACAAGATAATGGTAACAATCGGCGAAGTTTAATGAAACGTGAAACGGTTCTGAAATCTTTTGTACTGTCTTTCTATACAAATTTTGTTTTTCCTAATTTTCTCAGAATTTTTAGAGTTACAGAAATATGGTGGATTTTCAAATCTTTACAGACTGTCATGTTTTCACATATTTTTTTTGAATTTTATGTTTTCACAGATTGATGTTATAGCTTCATTATTTGCGTATGTTTGAATTCTTGTTGATGCCTCCTTGACTTGGGGCCATAGAATTGTGATAGCATACAGTGGGTAATGTTTGTTTATAATTATACAATAATGTTGCAGCAGTACATGATGGGATTTCATTGCCATTTTCACTAACCCCGCCACTAAAAGTTCGTTTAAGTTTTGTGTGGATGAAGTGTTCGAAAATTAAGGAGGTCTCGACACGAAAGCAATTTTTTTCTGCGAGGAAAGTGTGCTCATGAATACACCTTCGAATTTCTGACCATATGTACATACATCCCTGACAAACTGTAAAAATCTGAAAACGCCTACTTACAACTCAGAGGTGAACCTTGGAACTTCCGCATGCATGCACGTAGTTGGGTGAACAGTGAAATATGTAAAACGCGACAATCGAATTCACTGGTGCACCTTTGAATTTCCTTCTGTGTGCACATATGTCCGGATTATCAATAAAATCTAGAAATAGAAACTGAAAAATTTCAAAGAAATTATCAAAAACAATACATACAGATGTGATAATTTTATGGAAGAATCATGGTAGTACATGCCCGAAAGAAACACCCCCAATTAATATATCAAAGTAAATAGCTTACCCCGTTCATTGTAATGTGTTATGATCTAATCAGCTGACCTTAGAGCACCGACATACACCCTTGGGTCTATAGTTATTATTTTATTCATAGTTTCAAAATCAAGCCAAAAATACAGTTTTTATCAGCTCTATGCAGTACACACCTCTTGAATATGTTATGTCTCCTCGCAGACCTAAGTTGGAAAAAAACATCAGAAATATTTAGAGATTGTTGACGAAGGTCCTGTATGTTGCATATTTTTCGGTGTATTTTGTACGTGCAATTCGTAGCCTGATACTTTTGGCTGGGAAAATATAGCACGTACGTACAATCTTGCTGCCGTATACACTATTTGTTATGAACCCTTGGGTCTACAATTATTATTTTTATTCATGGTTTCAAAATCAAGCCATATGTATCGTTTTTATCAGCTCTATGCAGTACACACCTCTTGAGTATGTTATGTCTCCTCGCAGACCAAAGTTCGAAAAAATATCAGAAATTTTTAGAGATTGCTGGTGAAGGCCCTGTATGTTGTGTACTTTTCGGTGTATTTTGTATGTGTGATTCGTAGCCTGACACTTTTGGCTGCAAAATATATACCACGTACGTAAAATCTTGCTGCCATATACACTACTCAGTATGTTTGGAGAGATTGTGGGCCAGTTTGGATCGTGTCCTCACTGGTTTGCCTCGGCAAAATAGCTGCCTGGGAGTTGCCTGGACATCTCAGCAAAAATGCCTGGCCAGGCACGTCCATGTTTCTAGGCTGCGATTGGTTGCTGACCTGGGAACGTGCCTGTGTGGATAAATGGCCCAGGCAGTGTTAGGTTGCTATTTTGCCTGGGGTTGGAGATCACCGTTGTGCATATGCTAAAAACAAATATATATAATAATCTGACTTTTCAAAAGCATAACAAAGCCAAATAATTTGATAAACAAATAATAATAATAATCTGAAGTTTCATAAGCATAACACTGAAGGCAAATGATTTTATAACTCTGACGATACACAGCAACATTGTTGTTGAATAACCACGGTGCATTACATTTGATTAATACTCATTGTCCAGCACATCTGGAATGCAAGAGATACACAAATTATTCTTGTGGAATTAACATAACCAGAAGTCTAATTATGTATGCATCCTGATACTACCTAGAAACTTATCCAAAAGTCAGAAAGCAACACAACTTTCACATTAGCATCTAATAATCATATCATGCATGCTTATACTACTTGGAAACTAAGCAGAAGGCTGTAGCAAAATAATACCACCATCAGCCATAACTTAGACATCAGCTGTACATAGCCAAAAGCTAGTCATTGACTACTTAGAAACTAGTGTTTTGCAACCAAAAGGATCCAACAATATGGTAGACCACCAATCAATCTTACTCAGAAAGGGCTAGAGTTAACAGCAGGATCATCGCCAAGGTTACTAGCAGTATCATTGTTTCCAAGGTTACCAACAAGATCATTGTCGGCACGTTTGCCAGCGGGATAATTGTCAGATAAGTATGTATACACCCAACGCTCCAGGTATTCTTGACCCATGCTGACAAGAAAACCTCGATGGACTGCAAATTCTAGCTTGCATAGATGCATCCCGACCGACATCCTCTCATCAGGTGGCAACGGAATCTTCTTGAGCATGTCCGATAAAGGAGCATTTGGGTCCTTTGGGGCTACAGTCTGTACTGGACTTGCAAGGGTTTCTCGTATGCCTATCAAAGTACTTGTGAGCAGCACATCCATATCAGCGTCATCTTGTGATGCTTGAGATGATCTTGGCTTTGACCTTTTAGCTTTATCATTTTGTGGTGGTGGTAGAGTATTTGGCTTTGCCCGCCGAACCTGGTTGGGCTCCTGTAATGGAGTTCACCGCATCGGATATCTTCCAGCACTCGCCCTTTGGCGACGTGCTGAACTCGTTAAAATCTCTCTCCTTGTCAGGAGACTCTTGGCCGAACTATGTCCGGCTTGAGTGGGAAGCGGGCGACGAAGGAATTCGTTGCCCACCCACCACCCACTTCATTGCCACGGTCGATGACTTAACCGACGTGCTTGACTTCGACCCCGAAGACATCGACGGTATGGACGATGATGCAGGAGAAGAACAGGAACCACCGCTCACGGGGCGGTGGACAACCACCTCCTCATACGATATATATATGGTGGACACTCCGAAGGAAACCAATGGCGATGAGGCAATGGAGGATAATCCCTCAGGGAGAAAAGCAAAGCATGGGCGTCGTCGACACCGCTCCAAGCCTCGCCACAGCAATACCGACCCAGGAGACGAAAACAATACGGATGGTGCCGAAGAGGAATATAACCCCGATCAGCCTGCCTTCGAGCAGGCCGAACAGGAAGACGGGCAGGTCAGCCCAGACGAACAGGCGACGGACGGATATCCGGAGGAGGACAATTACATGCCCCCCTTTGAAGATGAGATTAGCCTCGGCAACGACGAGTTCGGCGTACTCGAGGACCCCGTGGAGCAGGAGTGCTTCAAGCGCCGGCTTATGGCCACCGCGAGGAGCCTGAAGAAGAAGCAGCAGCAGCTCCAAGCTGATCAAGACCTGCTCACAGACAGATGGACTGAAGTCCTGGCAGCTGAGGAATACGGACTCGAGCGCAACACGGCTAACCGGCCATCTCGTGGCCGGGATAAAACAGCATATCAGCCAGAATACCAGCCCGCGCCCCCATGCCAATACACTATGGCCCGGGGCAATAGGCAAGACCTGCAAGATATACTGGAAAACAAAGCAGGACAGCCAAGATCGATCTACGGACCGCGGGGGCGCGCCCCAACACGCGCCGATGACCGTCACGCCGGATACACTACGAACAAGTCCGGCCGGGCCAAATACAACCACCCAGAATCATTCGAACTGCGTAGCCTCATAGCCTGGCATAGAGGCGCCGCACACCCCCTCTACTTCACTAACGAAGTGATGGATCATGGATTCCCAGAAGGGTTCAAACCCATAAACATCGAATCATACGATGGCACAACAGACCCCGCAGTATGGATCGAAGATTTCCTTCTCCACATTCACATGGCCCGCGGAGACGATCTACACGCCATCAAGTATCTTCCCCTTAAGCTCAAAGGACCTGCCCGCATTGGCTAAACAGTCTGCCGGCAAATTCCATTGGAAGTTGGGAAAACCTAGAAGACGCATTCCTCGACAACTTCCAGGGCACATACGTGCGACCACCGGACGCCGATGACTTGAGCCACATTACTCAACAACCCGGAGAGTCAGCCAGGAAATTCTGGACTCAGTTCCTAACTAAAAAGAACCAAATAGTCGACTGTCGGGACGCCGAAGCCCTGGCGGCCTTTAAGCATAATATTCGTGACGAGTGGCTCGCCCGACACCTCGGCCAGGAAAAACCCAAGTCCATGGCAGCACTCACAACACTAATGACCCACTTTTGCTCTGGCAAGGACAGCTGGTTGGCTCGTAGTAGCACCACGCCATATTCCGGCACCTCGGATGCCCGTGACAATAACGGCAAGCCATGGCGCAACAGACATAAGCGACGGAATAACAACGACAACGCTGAAGACACGGCAGTCAATGCTGGATTCAGCGGATCTAAATCCGGTCAGCAGAAAAAGCCGTTCAAAAGAAACAATCAGGGACCGTCCAGTCTGGACCGCATACTAGAACGCTCGTGCCAAATTCATGGCACCCCGAACAAACCAGCAAACCACACTAATAGATACTGTTGGGTATTCAAACAGGTTGGTAAAATAAACACCGAAAACAAGGACAAGGGGCTGCACAGTGACGATGATGAGGAGCCCCAGCGTCCGAACACGAGGGGACAGAAGAAATTTCCTCCCCTGGTGAAAATGGTCAACATGATCTACGCCACCCACATTCCCAAGCAGGAACGGAAGCGAGCACTATGGGAAGTCTATGCGATGGAGCCAGTCGCCCCCAAATTCAACCCATGGTCAGTTTGTCCGATCACCTTTGATCGTAGGGATCACCCTACCAGCATCCGTCACGGCGGCTCAGCCGCATTGGTCCTAGACCCAATCATCACGGATTCCACCTCATGCAAGTCCTTATGGACGGCGGCAGCAGCCTGAACCTGCTTTACCAGGACACAGTGCGCAAAATGGGCATCGACCCTTCAAGGATCAAGCCCACGAAAACCACCTTTAAAGGTGTAATTCCTGGAGTAGAGGCCCGTTGCACGGGCTCTATAACATTGGAAGTGGTCTTCGGATCTCCGGATAACTTCCAAAGCGAAGAGTTAATCTTCGATATCGTCCCTTTCCGTAGTGGTTACCACGCACTGCTTGGACGAACCGCATTCGCTAGATTCAATGCGGTACCACACTATGCATACCTTAAGCTCAAGATGCCAGGACCGCGTGGGGTCATAACAGTAAACAGAAACATGGACCGCTCTCTTCGTACAGAAGAGCATACTGCAGCCCTCGCGGCAGAAGTACAATGCGGCCTCCTCTGACAAACCACCAATCCGGCGATGACAACCTCGAGCACCGTCAAGCGAGTCCGGAGCACCCCGCAACAGGATCACCAGGCACGCCAAGAGCGCGACTAGCAGTCCGGCCTCCGCTCAAGCCCCATCAAAGCAGCATTCGTGCCACGCGTACACAATTACGCACTCGAAATACCATGGGCATAGGCGGAGGCGCAGCAGTGACTCAGTCAACAGTGCGGTATCACCGCAACATACCTTCATAACCCTCCCTTCTTATCTTTCAGGACACTGTTTAGGGCAACCTCTTCAGAAGAGCCGGATTGTCGGACTTACACAGGAGAAAAAACCAAGGGGGCAACAGGCTTTGCGCACAAAGAAAATACCCAGGTGGAATCTGTTCACGATCGTTATACCTGTTTTATATACCTACATGCAGCCCGCCCTTGGATATGACATGTTAAATAGCCCTATTTACTTCTGCTTAACCGCACCCATTGTAAACATACGCTTAAACGTATTATTCATCAATGGGAGATAATATATAGCGTCGTCTTATTATTCCTATTTGCACATTTTTCCTATAAATGTTTGTTTAATATTGCATTCGTACACCTTGGTACGTTCAGTTTGCCAGGGGCTTCTTATGGCGCCCCACAATATGGCAGGACAAGTCCGAACACTTTCAACAGTGCGGCACCCCGAACTTATAGCACTATATGCATTAGCTCCGAATCATGTCTTGGGTCAATAGTTGGGTTTGCCCAGCTCCCTTGTTTTGGTACCTTACATTCCGTTATATCGGCTAAGGTAGCGCAGGGAGAACTACTGCGATTGTGTCCCGGTTCTTCCGGATGAGCACCTCAGTAGAGAAAGCCGAAAACTGACCGGCATGATGCGGCGAGAGCTGGTCGCTGTTCAGGAGGTCTTAAAATCCTTAAAGATTTTTTCCGCTTTAGGCGAGGAATCGGCTTCGTCCGATTTAGGCGTATATAGCGCCCTAATTCGGCTTTCCGAATTCTAGGGGCTTCGCCGAAATTTAAAATTATAGACTTCTATGGCTAAGTGAAAGTTATATATAAAGCCGCATAGTCCGATTGCCTTGTTCGCTGCGCCGGATACCTCCTTAAGGGACCAAAAATTTGGATAAAGAGTGTCCAGGTTTTTCCAGAAACACCCCGGTACTAGTTGCATGGGGGCGGAAGCCGACGACTGGCCTACTTTTAGAATTCTATAAACAGCCGCACAGAAGGTAATATTTGAAATCAAAAAAGCGCTATATAGCGCAAATAACTTCGTCTTTACATTACAAAAACGACAGAAGCACATTCATTCAAAGATCCTGTTCTTGGTACATTCTTCGACCACGAGACGAGCGCCCTTCATAACGCCATCATAATATTTCTCGGGACAGCGATGCGCCTTGCCCTCCGGTGGCCCGTCCTTCACCAGCTTCTCCGCATCCAGCTTGCTCCAATGCACCTTCGCACGGGCAAAGGCCCGGCGGGCACCCTCAATGCAAACGGATCGCTTGATCACTTCAAGTCGCGGACAGGCATTCATCATCCGCTTGATCAGGCCGAAGTAGCTAGTGGGCAGGGGCTCACCAGGCCACATCCGGACTATGAAATCTTTCATAGCCACTTCGGCCGCCCTGTGGAGTTTAACCAACTGCTTCAGTTGGTCACTCAGAGGCATTGGGTGTTCGGCCCCAGCATACTGGGACCGGAACAGCTTCTCCGTTGAGCTCCCCTCCTCGGCACGGTAGAACTCCGCAGCATCTGATACGCTACGTGGCAGATCTGTGAATGCCCCTGGAGAGCTCCGAATTCGGGTAAGTAAAAGAAACGCCTCCTCCACATGCTTGCTTTGCATAAAGAATGTCTTACCGCCTCTATCTTCTTGGCCGCCTGGATTTCCTGCTGTGCCTTTTCGGCTTCGGCCTTGGCGTCTTTCACACTCGCAAGGGCCTTCGCAAGCTCAGCCTCTTTCATCTCAAGATCATGCTCTAAGGACTCAAACTTCTTGCCGAGTTCCTGGAGCTCTTGCCGTACCTCGCCCACTCTAGCATCTTGCTTTTCGCGCTCCTTGCGTTCCAAGGCCGCCTTGTCTTCGGCCTCGGACAGCGCTTTCCTCAGAGACGCCACTTCGGTGGTGGCCCCTGTTACAAAATCACAACGCTTTGTCGTTAGAATAACCAATTTTATCTATCCTTCATTATATGCGAACGGGGTATCACTCACCTTTGTTCTCTTCGAGCTGCCTCTTTGTGAGGCCGAGCT